GAGGAGTCACAGAAGGAGCTCAGCACCTGGAAGTTGTTATTGAAAAGATCCAATAATCAATTTATAGGAGGGACTTAATCAATAGTAACTGATTTGTGTGTAACTGAAATCTTAGAATATTTTTTAAAATATAGATATATGAGTTATCTCACAGACATCCTGAAACAAAGTGCAGAGCCCTGGCATCTGCGTTTTTGTCCAGCTCCCAGGTGATGTACAAACTGGAGCGTAGGAACTGGGAGACTAAACGTCCCCAAGTATACCTTTCAAATGAGACTCTGTGGTCCCCACATCTTATAAGGAATTCTAGGGGGAATCCTGCCAGTTCGACAGCTGGCGGGGGGAAGGGGGCGAGGAGGTGGCAGTTGGAGATGTGTTCTCCTCCTTCTCTGTTCCATCCTTGGGCCCCCTCCTCCAAACGCAAGACTCCGCTTGGTTCTGTCGGGATGACAGGCCCCTAAGGTTTAGTCACATTGTGGGGTTAGCAAGCCTGTGTGGGCTAGCCCGGGAACCTAACCACTATTTATAACACAGTTTCTGTGGGAAAATAAGCCCCAACAACTGCCTTTCAGAAATATGCTGGAGCACAACCTGTCGGTAACTGGGAAAATATGCACAAAGTTATTTTCTCAGGAGCTTTTAGCATCTCACACACTTGACCTCAGATAATGAGTGATTAATCAGCTTTCAGTGTGGGCTTCACAGTGGAAGAAGCCCTTCTGCCTGTCGTAAACCGAGGCCTCCTTTAAGAGCAACTGTTCCTTTTTCTCCAGCAGTTGTTTCGTCCTGTGTCATTGGCTCGCCCAGGGGAGATTGGTGCGGCTCCCCCGGGAAGTGATGGATGGCCCGAGATGCCGGGTGGTAGCAGACACTTCAGCTTGGCGCTTACACAGACAGGGAGAATGAGGTCACCTTTCAGGGTTTAGTGACACCTGTGTCCCATTCCAAGGACTCTGCCCTTGTCCCTGAAATGGAGGACAGTTTTTGAGACAGAAAAGATATAGATTTGTAAGTACACATGTAAAAAGGATCTTAGGGGCTTGTGTTGGCCCCAAGGTCAAATTGAATAAACAATATGATCGTGATCCTCCTAATGTCCCTTCAAAAAAAGTAACCCCAAGGAAGTTTAAAACTGGCACTCATTTACCTCCTGGTGATACCACGCTCAGGTCTGGACTCTTATGTTAAGAGGGTCACAGAAACCTTGAAGGATGCCCCAGCGGCATGACCTGGATAGGGAAGAGGTCTAGAGACGACATGTGATTATATAATCATTAGGTTGAATAAATAGGACTCAAAGACAGACACCAGCAGCCCCCAGATGCCTCTGTGTGCATCAGGAAAAGCTCATAGGAGCAAAACCCAGGAGGAGAAAAGTCAAAGAGACCACATTCATTTTATGCCTAAAGCTATTAATTAAGGAAATACAATTCAAATCATTTTAATACTTTAAAAATCGCCAGTAGCTGAATAAGCCAGAAATTGACCCATATTGCATTTAAACATCAAAGAAAAACATAGCCAAATAGTCAAAGATAGAAAAGTAACAAGGATGCATTAAAGCAAAACATTAGCCCTGGCCCATTTGGCTCAGTGGTTAGAGCGTCAGCCTGCAGACCAAAGAGTTGCAGGTTCAATTCTGATCTAGGGCACGTACCTCAGTTGCAATTCGATCCCCAGGCCTGGTCAGGGTCATGTGGGAGGCAGCCAGTTGATGTGTCTCTCTCACATCAATGTTTCTCTCCCCCCCCCCCTTTCTTTCCCTCCCTCCCACTCTCTCTGAAAATAAATGGAAAAATATCTTCGGGTGAGGATTTAAAAAAAAAAATCAAAACAGTATATGTGTGACTACCACCACAGCAACATGGTATTAAAAGGAAATGCACCTAAGAAATGGCAATTGCCCATTAATGTTTGAAAGGAACTACTCTAATCAGAAATCAGAGAAATGCAAATTAAAATTAAAAGGAGATATGCTTTTTCTTAACCTAACAAACTGACAATGACTTAAAGTACCTGCTGTTATCAAAGATACAGGGGAATGGGTACTTTCGTACACAGTGGAATTTTAACATCCCGTGTGAGGAGAATAATTTAGCCTTATCTATATAGGCGTGAATGGTGTTTATGTTTTGTATCCCCTTTGCCTCAGCATGTATACTTTTGGGAATTTATTCTGAAAAAAATAACTACCAGTGTGTGTGTTTAGAAAATTTAGATTCAAGGATGCTTTTGCCTAAGTGTGCAATGATTGGACATTGTTGAGGAAGTAAAGGTAGGCTGTCCACTGGAGGACCGCTGGCCCGTCAGCATGGGCTTCGGCACCGTCCCGGGTCTTCAGGGCATCTGGGCAAGTGGCTGTCTGGATGCCAGGTTGAAGAACCCACGTTTGAGTCATGGACCTTTACTCTTAATAGCAGTGGCTGGTATTTGTGGGTACCTGCACGTCCTGGACACTGGACCGGGCGGTTTGCATGCGTCATCTCCCTGAACCCTCAGGGCCACCCAGTAAGGGAGGTAGGACCCACCCCAGGCCACAGTTAACAAACCACAGAGCTGGGGCTGGACAGCAGGTCAGCCGGCACCCACGTCCAGTGTCCTCACACACTGCCAGGCTCTCGCCTCTGTTCCTCAGGGGAAATGTCTAGATCGCTTGGTCCAACCTTCTCAGTTTTCGGATGGAGAAACTGAAATTGAGAAAGGGTCTCTAGGTATTGTTTTGGGTTCTGGTGATACCTCTGTGATCAAGACAGCATCCCTGACCCCGTGGAGACTAATTCTAGTTGTGGGGAGAGGGGTTGGGACAACAGACAATAAGCAAGTAAACACGTAAGTAGGAAAATTGCAGGCCATGAAAAGTGCAATAAAGAAGATAAAACCAGTGGGTAGAGAATGCCTGGGGTGAGGGGGTTTCAGAAAGGGTGGGTCAGGAAAGCTGTCCCTGGGAAGTGACCAGTGTCGGCACTGGAATGCCAAGACTATCACGCGAAGACTGGGGAAGCAGCTTTCTAGCAGCGGAAACATTACTGCAGACGCCCTGAGGTGCGAACAGACCATGTGATCGAAGGACCCAAAAGGTTTGATGAAGAGAGAGAGCCTCCTAATGGACCGTCCCGCCCCCAGGAGGAGCGAGATGGCGGAGGATGATTGCGGAAAGCTGGCCCACGGGGTAGGCTGCGGGTGGGGCGTGATTGGCAGTGGGAAGCGGCTGAGCTGGGCAGGAGGCGGTGCAGCCTCCGTGAAGGGCCCTTGCTTTGGCGGGAGTTTCTGCTGTGTATTTTGAGTGATGAACAGAATGTGATGGCTGGACATGGTGCATGTCTGAGGAAAACTGTACACAGGGATGAAACCTTAGTCATCCAACAGGAGCTTAAACAAAAAAGAGGGAGGTGGATCTGTTGCTGGGGCACCAGCATTTGGTGGGCAGAATTCCTCACCTGCAGGGTCCCAGTGGGAGGGCCTTGGCCGTCCCCTGGCACCTGTGTGAGCGACCCTCTTCTGCTAGCACCTTGAGCCAAGTGCAGGAGACGGGCCCCAGCCACGGGATGACCCAACCTGTGATGGCCCAGCTTCACCACCCTCCCATGCTCGAGACCTGGCCCCAAGCAACTTGGGGTGGTTTCAAATAGGAATTGTGCCCTCAAAAGTAAAAAATGAGAGAAGTATCAGAGATGAATTGGACCAGTCCTGCTACACACATGCGTGCACACATGCTTACACACAAAGCACAAGCTGTGTGACCTTGGGCAAATCTCGGGACCTCTCTGTGCCTCGGGCTGCAGGGGTGGGGCATATGTGACCACATCGAAAGGCCCTTCCCAGAATAAACTGATAGTGAATCGATGGTTTCTAAGTGTGATTTGCCCCAAAGGTTTTTCCAAAGACTAAGCCATGGCTCTGATGACGTTCTGGTAGAGGGGTTCAGAAGTGATTTGAGAAAAGGCCGTGGAGAGGCTGAGGTAACAGGTTCCCCGGGGCAGCATTCATTTGGATGTGCAAGCTTCAGGGACGAGTAAAAGGACACTCCCAGTACTTTGTGACCACAGTCAGAATGTTAATGTCACCAATGAAATTTTTTCATGAAATTCAGTTCCATGGGAGAAAATACTTTTTTTTAATGCCGAGTTATTAACAGATCCTGCTATAGGATGGAAGAGGAAAGAGGAGGGTTTGATGTTGGGTCAGAACAGCTCGTACACCTGGGCACCTGGGATGTGCCCTATGCCCCATGCTCTAGGAGGGCCTCACTCAGACCCCATGGAGCTCAGAATCCACCAGGCCACTGGGATATGCCCAGCCAAAGCCTGTACCTCTCTCCCTCCTAGACCATGCCCCAAATCCCTGCCCAAATGGCTGGAGCTGCTTCTGGTGCCCAGGGAGCATCTTGCCTAGGTCAGCCTTCTTCAGGGTGAACCGCGCCTCTGGGTGGTCAGAGGCCTTCTGATGCTGGAATGGGAGGAGGTGCGCGTGGCTGGGCTGCCGGAGTGGACCGCAGAGCGAGACCAGCATGCCCCATGCTGCCGTGTCCAGCCTGAAGCTCTGAGGAGCCCTAGAGTTCTGAATTCAGGCTTGGACTTCCAGAACGTCAGAAGGGCTATTTATTGAACAGTTTGTTGATCTGTCTGTCTGTAATTTACATATTTAGACATAAAGATGGGGGCCTCCACTGGCACTGTAGCCCTGGGCCCTACAAATGTCATGGGGAGCCCTGGTTAGGGACCATGATTTCTTCACCCTAACCTTGTCAGATACCAGAGTTCAAATCTCAGCCCTGCCGCTCACTAGCTCTGGGGTGCTAGGCAAGTCGGCTTCCCTGCATCAGTCTGCTCACTTGTACAATGAAGGTGATGCTAGTACCTATCATGTGAGGTTTCTGTGAGGCTTAAGGGAGATCATGCACATACAGAGCCTAGACGTTCGGAGAGTCTCAGCTCTCGGCCCTGTGTGCCTGGTGTCCCTGCAGGCTGTAACCTGCTGTCCCCCAACCCTTTGTTTTGCAGACGCCCCAGCAGTATGAGAGAGAGTACAACAACAAGCGGTCAGGCGTGGGGCCCAGCAAGTTCCACGGGTATGCCTACGATGGCATCTGGGTCATCGCCAAGACGCTGCAGAGGGCCATGGAGACGCTGCACGCCAGCAGCCGGCACCAGCGGATCCAGGACTTCAACTACACGGACCACACGCTGGGCAGGATCATCCTCAACGCCATGAATGAGACCAACTTCTTCGGGGTCACGGTCAGTCCCAGGCCCCCAGGCTCTGCTTTCCTTAGTGCCCCCTGGAGACATCCAAGGCCAGGCGGGCTGTGTCACACACCCTCTGGCACTGGATCCATTCTCGCAGATCATTGCATAACGTCCTGTGGGCTGTAGGATTTCAGGGCTGCTAGAACAGGAGGTGCAGTGACGCTCTCTGACACTTTGGGAAAGGGCTTCTCCATAACCCATGGATTAGAAAGCCCATACTGAGTTGACTGCACGCAGAGCAGTGGAATGCACCGGCCGTGGGTGGGTGGGTAACAGAAGCTCTAGACCCAAAGTTAGATTCAAATCCTGGACCTTCACTTTTAGGTTACCTTCTCCAAACCGAGTTTTCGTTCCCAACATGGAAATAATACCTATCCTGTCGGGTAATTGTAAAGATTAGCCATCCCAGAGTGAAAACTGCTAATATTTGTGGAGGATGCAACTGTCTCAAGTTTTTCATCTGAGAAATGGGGGAAATGATAAATGTCTTGCACAGAAGTTGAGAAAATTAACAATGATAATAATGGCTATTATTTCTTGAATGTTCATTACTGCTAGATGCTATGCTGATAAGCACTTTATGTAGATTAGACTCAATAAGGTATGCCCAATGCTAGGCACACAGTAGGCACTCCGTAAATGCTAGCAGTTATTATTGTTGATAATGGTCTCATTGCATCCCTATGTCATACGTAGAAAGCAGGTCTGTTATTATCCTCATTAGAGGTGAGGAGCCTGGAGCTCAGAGCATTTAAGTACTAAATCTAATCAGAGCAGAGCTGGACTTTGAATTGGGTCTAGCTCTTAATTGTTGTGTTACACTACCTTCTTGTAATGGACCTAAGTGGTAGTTATTTCTGTCTCCTGATGTATTTGTCATTGACTCTGCTCCCAGACAATATGAAAAATTTGTCTAAAGAATCGGTTGAAATGGCTAACGTACTGACCTGAGTTTTCAAGAGTCATCTACAGAGCCGGTCTGTCTTGGGGTATTAAGAGGAGTACATAGGATAAGTTGATCGGTGCGTTTCTTAAACATTTGTGTTCCTTTGTGTGTGCACTCAGCCTCGCACTGCTGGCCGGTGGGCCAGGCACTGAGCACCTGTGCAGGTGCTGGGGGGCAGACGATGGTGTGGACACCGAGGGGAGTAAGGTGGGCTCCCTGTCCAGATGCAGAGGCCAGACCTGAATACAAATGACAGGAGGTGCTCAGCGCCCTGGGAGAAACCGTGTGAGCCCAGAGGGGTTTCTGTGACCTCTGGGGAAAGGTCAGGCAGGGCCTGGGGAAGAGGCAGCCTGTGAGCTGTGCCTTAGATATGCGGAGTGTGGTGAGCAAGAGAGAAGCACGTGCGTGTGTGCGGGGAACATAGGAAAGGAGGCTGGCAAGGCTGGAAGGTGTACTGGGGCCCATTTCTAAGGAACAAGCTGAGGAGGCGGGCCTTTCTCTTAAAGTCAAAGATCCTCCAAGTATACCGGGACCAGCAGCACCCAGTGTGCCCTGGGAGCTGGTTAGAAATGGTGATTCTCGCCCTGGCCAGTTTGGCTCAGCGGTTAGACTGTCGGCCTGCGGTCCAGAGAGACCCGGGTTCGGTTCCTGTTAAGAGCATGTACCTCGGTTGCGGTTTGTCCCCGGCCCTGGTTGGGTCGTGCGGGTGGCAACCACTCGATGTGTCCCTTTCATGTCGATGTTTCTCTCTCTCTCTCTCTCTCTCTCTCTCCCACTCTATCTGAACAAAAAATGGAAAAGTGTCCTCAGGTGAGGATTAAAAAGAAAGAAAGAAAGAAATGCTAATTCTCCAGCCCCGCCCCAGGCCCCCTGAATCAGAATCTCTGGGGTGGGCCCAGAGGCTGTGGTTTAACGAATCCTCTAGGTGATTCTAGTGCACTGGAACCAACAAAATGGGTGTTTATAGCTCAGCCTACATTCAGACTGGAAGGTTTAACAGCTTTCCTCAGAAGAATAGTTTTTAAAAAAAAAAATTTTTTTGCCCTGGCCGGTTTGGCTCAGCGGTTAGAACGTCGGCCTGCAGTCCCGAGAGACCCAGGTTCGGTTCCCGCTAAGGGCATGTACCTCGGTTGCAGTTTGTCCCCGGCCCTGGTTGGTCGTGCGGATGGCGGCCACTCGATGTGTCCCTTTCACATCGATGTTTCTCTCTCTCTCTCTCCCTCTCTCTCCCTCCCGCTCTACCTGAACAAAAAAAAAATGTCCTCGGGTGAGGATTTTTTTTTAATCCTCAGAACCTCTTTCTATAAAATCTCAGATGGTGTCTGGTATGTCATACAGAGGAGAGAGGAGCTCCTCAGTTGAACAGAGGGGGAGCCCAGAGCCCTGTCTGTTTACCCTCTTCCCATAGTCCCTGCCTCATTCCACCCAATATCCCAGAGAACCACCCCTCCCCACACACACACACACACACAGAACCAAAGACCTTGGAGGGCCTTTCTCTTCATGGTACAAATCCAGACCAAGACTTAGAGAGGGATGGGATTTCCCCAGGGTCCCACCAAACACTGTGGCAGAACTGTCTCAAAACAGGGGCACATTTATTCAGGTCATCTTTTCACACGTGGCTTCTTATTTCAGAGAATGAATTCATAGCACCCCAAGCTGAAACGGCTGGATAGAGAGCTACAGAATCTAGGAGGCGTCTTGCCGTCTCGCATAATCCTAGAGCTCGGCATTTTGCCTGAGGTATCTTAGCAGGAGTTAATTCATAACTACTTCTAAGTGCTCCCTTTCATCTAAGCCGAATAATTCATAACCCCTACTTGATGAGCAATTAGATCAGACTGCCTGAATCGCTTGCCACGGCTTGAAGATGAGTTTCTTTTTAATGGGAAATTCCTTGACACATATTGATGCTCCGACTTGTGACTCATAACTCAGCAGACGTCAGAACTGAGAGCATCTTCAAGATCCTCAGATTCCGCTGCCTTGCGTTGGAGGTGAGTGTCTGAGATACCGTCGGGGCGCTTTCAGAGTCACCCAGGAAGATTGATTCAGCAGAGCCAGGTACCGAGGTGGGCCCTGCCCCACCGCGCCTGGCGCCTTCTCCTCCTGTTCGTGCCAGCCCCCGTTTCCTTGAGAAAGATATTGCAGTTGAGGAACAGTTCTCAACGCCCCCTCATCCCCTTTGTCACATATTAATATGTGCTTGTCCCTGGGTTGTAGACGGGTTTCGTTAAAATTGTCTTCTGATCAGAATAAAGAAAGGATGCCTTCTAATACAATAAAAAGTGACTCTGTGGTCCAAGGAGACCACAGAAGGCCAAGTTCAGTCATAAATAAATAGTTAGAAAGGAAAGAAAGGGGAGGTGGGAAGAAATGGAGGCATTTCCTGTTTGCTGAAGGGCTTTCATCAGACAGCACGCACCCTGACCATCCTTCCCTTCTCAGGCAGACACTTTATTCTGGGCCACACGCATTCAGCATGTTTAGTATACAGAAGATCGTTTAAACACGTTAAATTAATTATATCTGTGACTCAATTTCAATTGATTCAGCGTGTACATCTCGATCGGGAGCTGGGCCCGTGGCTACTACGGCATGTGGGAGAGGGCAGTTCACCACTGGGGAGCTGGCGTGGCCTGGGGCCCAGCTCTGTTTCTGTTTCTAGGAAGCTCTCCTTCCAGTTACTCTTCTCAGGGAACACTGGAAATGGAGTTCTGTGTCCCACCTGCACACGGATGGCCTGGGGATCCTGCCCACCTCAGATTCCAAGGGCACGGTTCTGATGATCAGCCCTGTTACGGATGGTTCACTGTCTCGGTCTCAAAGCCCAGAGAATTTTGAGAATCCCAGCTTAGCAGTCACAGGGGTGAGGAACCTTTTTTCCACCAAGGGCCATTTGGATACTTATAACATCATGCGCAGGCCATACAAAATTATCAACTTACAAATTAGCCTGCTAAATTGTGAGGCATATGATGTTAGCTGATATTGATTCCGTGGGCCTTAGGCAGCCCGTGGGCCAGCTGTTCCTTCCCCTGGCTGTAGGGCAATGATTCCTAAACTTCTAGATGAATGATACTCTCCCAGCGAGCTTAAAAATTCAGATTTCCCAGGCCTGCCCCAGAACGTATGATACAGTGGCTTTGCAGTAAGGCTGAGGGACTCACATTACGAACAAGCAGTCCAGGTGATTCTCAAATAGCAACCTTAAGAATTGCTTGGGGCTCCAGTGGTGTGTGTGTGTGTGTGTGCACACGTGCGTGTGTGTGTGCACGCACATGCTCACGTACCTATACACACACACGCTTTTATTTTAAACCTGTCAAGATGTATTTGTTTCTGCATTCATTCACTCCTTTAGTATACCCCGTGCTGGGAGCTGGGAGCACACCGCCTGGTGGTGGGGGGAGAGATAGGCAAGTAGAAGAAGATTTGCTGGGCAGTACCCTATGTCTGCCCAAGGCCCTTGGCGGGAGGACCCCGTTCTGCTTACAGGAACAAAGCCTGGAGAGCTGTCCTCGATGTTCCTGCAGTTCAGTGGGAACTACCTGTGGAGCAGTTGCAAGGTGCTCATGCTGTGGTGCTGACTGTCCTGCGCCGTGTGCTGGGAGCACGGGTGCAGTGCCAGGCTCCTGTCCCCAGCACACATGGCCATATACCATGGGTTAGCAGGCTCCCCCACTGAGGCTCTCCTGCCTGCGATATTGTGATTTACAAAAAATACATGTATGTGGTCATGGTCGTTCAGGTGACCAACATATATTTCTCATATGCATGTGGTGTTGTCTCCATTTCCTGGCTCACAGCTCCTAAAACCTGTGGAATTTCCTAAGTGCTGAGAATGATAAAGGTGTCTTTTGTTAGGTTAGTCAGGTGACTTTTGGGAGTGTGTAAGGATGGGGTTGATTGCTAGTGGAACCAACCATGGGATTAGCCTAACTGGCCGGCGGTTCTCAACCTTCCTAATGCCACAGTCCTTAAATACAGTTCCTCATATCGTGGTGACCTCCAACCATAAAATTGTTTTTGTTGCTACTTC